TGTCTACAATAAGCATGGGTGCACACTGCACTCAGAACATGGGTGTGCACTCATCTCTATCTCTGTGTGTGTGTGTGTGTGTGTGTGTGTGTGTGTGTGTATGTATGTGTCTTTCTTTACTGGAACTCTAATCATGCAGTTAAATGGCTCTGCCACATTCTCAGTACAGCCAAATGTGGGACACTGTGTGAACTGTTGATTTATTGGATTTTTCACTGTGGACTGGTTACCATGGCTTTTTGAGAATTCAGACCACAGGAGGAAATGCTGTAAACTTAGAAATATTATCTATTTTCCATTACCTCCAGTAAAAATGTCTATCAGGGAGAGAGCTAGGGAAATGCCACTTTGCGGGCCAAGTCACAATAAATTTGGGTACAGGATGAATCAGTTCCTAAACAGCCCCAGTGCAGAGAAATAAAAGTACAAGGTCCTGAAAGCCCCCCAAATCTGGAATAGTTGCTTGAGGGACCAGGAAGAGAGAAACCCAAGAAAGAGCTCATAAGAATCCTAAAGAAGAGAGAGAAGTGGGTCAGCCCTGCCTCTGTCCAGGGTTCAACAGGCACTGCCTACAGCTGGGAGTGCCAGCACCCATGATCCAGCATCAGAGAGCCAGGCATGGGGGTGGCTGGTCAAGCCATTTCAGAACTTTCATGTGCTCTCGGCACTTTGCCTTCGTGGGCACGATTAATTTACTATTACTGCCACAAACTTAGTGGTTTAAACCACAGCAATTTATTCTCTTATGGTTCTAGTGATCAGAAGTCCTAAAATCAGGGCTGCATTCCTTCTGTGGGCCCTAAGGAGAGTCCCTGTTCTTGCCTTTTCCAATGTCTACAGGCCACCCCTGCCTTATTGTAGGTCTCCTCCTCTATCTTCAAAGCCAACCACAGCCAAGCCCTTCCTCAAGTTGCCATATCTCTGGTATTTCCTCCTGTCTCCTTCCATATTTAAGAACCCTAGTGATTACATTAGGGCCACCCAGGTCATCCAGGAAAATCTTTTCTACTCTAAGGTCAAGCAATTAGCAGCCTTAATTTCATCTGCAAACTTAAATCTTTGCCATGTAACCAACCATATTCACAGATTCCAAGGATTAATATAATGACATCCTGTGGGTGGAGGCTGGGGGACCTGGGGTAGGGGGGTTGAGGAGTGGGGGTTGGCAGGCAGGGAGCAGGTGGGGGGGTGCGAGGCGCAGACTGGTGCAGGGCAGTGGTGTGATTATTTTGCCAACCACGGGCCCCTTCCTCCAAAAAGAAAAGTTTTAAATATATTTTATGACTATGATGGTATAAAGATGAATATATTAACATTACATATTTGAATGTTTTCTTCAACCTAGAAGTTTGGGGGTTTTCTTTTGATTTTAAAAGAAATTAAATGCTTTCATGGATCCCCTAAAGGTCATGAGACCCCAGGCACTGCATCTCCTGCATCTGAGGGGTAAGTCAGCCCTGGGGGAGCCATGCAATGGCTCAGATGAAGCACACACAAGTCCAGGCCTGTGGAGGTGTCTACACTTGCATGAGCCACACAACACAGGAGAAAGCCCTGAGCAATAGTGTTGTGGGGAGACATATGCGCTGGACAGGGAAGAGGGGGCAGAAAGGACAGGATTTTACTACAAGGCAAAGCGGGTGCTTTGGTTGAGTGTGTGTCCCTCCAAAATTCATATGTTGGAACCAAACCTCTAATGTGATGGTATTAAGAGGTGGGGCTAGGGGCTAGGCTGGGCACAGTGGCTCACACTTGTAATTCCAACACTTTGGGAGGCCGAGGCGGGTGGATCACCTGAGGTCAGGAGTTCAAGACCAGTCTGGCCAACAGGGCAAAACCCCATTTCTACTAAAAATTTAAAAAATTAGCCAGCCATGGTGGGACACGTCTATAATCCCAGCTACTCAGGAGGCTGAGACAGGAGAATTGCTTGAACCCAGGAGGTAGAGGTTGCAGTAAGCCAAGATCTTGCCATTGCACTCCAGCCTGGGTGACAAAAGCAAAACTCCGTCACAAAAAAAAAAAAAAAAAAAGAAAAAAAAAGGTAGGGTTCTTGGGGAAGAGCAGAGCCCTCATGAATGGATTAGTGCTCTTACAAAAGAAGGTGAAGAGAGCACCTGAGTGTCTTTTGCTCTTCCATCCTTTCCGCCATGGGAGGAGGACACAGAGTTCACCCCCTCTGGAGGATGCAGCAACGAGGTGCCATCTTGGAAACAGAGAGGAGACCTCAAAAGACATGGAACCTGCCAGCACTTTGATCTTGGACTTCCCAAACTGTGAGAAACAAACTTCAGTTATGTATAAGTTTCCCAGTCTAAGGTATTTCTGTTATAGCATCATGAACAGACTAAGACAGAAGGTTAAGCCATGTTACTTGGGCTTTCTAAATCTGTTTTCTCATCCATACAATGAGAGAAGAAAGGAACCCACGTGGGCAGGGTTACGATGAACAGCATAAGAGGTAACACAGGCAAAGTGCCCAGCCGCCTTGGTGTAGGGAACCCATGTGTTTTTATTTTTAAAAAGTTCCAGCCGGTCAAATTTATGCCAACAAAATACAGATATGTCACAGGAATATTTTCGTAAAATGTCAGATGCTACTTCTTAGCTGCAACATGATTCAGTTGCCAGGGCCTTCCTGGGTGCCGTCTGGAGGCACTGGGGGTGCTGGAGGTCCCAGCTAGGGATGAATAGGGCTTGGGGGTGCTCAGAGGTAAGATGAGGCCACCTGGTAAATGAGAGAAGCTTCAGCTTACTGTGTCTCTGCCATGTGTCCAGGCTGAGCTCATGGCTTTCCATAGCATCTCACCAATACTCAGCAAGCTGAAAGAGTGAGGCGTCTCCTCTTCCCACGGTCCAGGAAACTGAGGCTTGGAAGGGCGAGATGGCCACTGGTCCACCCACCTACTCAAGGCTGGTGGCAGCTGCCTCCCAGTTAACGATGCTTGGACCACACAGAGCAACTGAGAGTCATCAGAGAACCGAGGATGTGGTCTGAGCACATTTCAGCTTAGCTGGAGAAGAGATAGAGGAATGGGGTAGGGGCAGTACTGGCATGAGAATAGGACCCTCCATGAAAGGGAAGGAGACCCAAAAAACAGCAGCAACAGCAGACTCCTACAGGGCATTTGCTACGTGCCAAGGACAATCTTAACTGCTTGATGGGAATTAACTCATTTAATCCCCACAACAACCCTAAGTGGTAGCTATGATTACATCTCCATCTTACAGATGAAGAAACTGGGGCCCAAAAGGCTCAGAAACAGGTTCAAGGATGTGCAGCTCGGTAGGTCTGGAATCCCAGTCTCACTCCAGAATCTGAGCTCTTATTCACTCTTTGACACCAGTGAGGACCTGCTCATCTGGGGGAACAGAGAGCAAAGGAGTGGAGCTGCATCCCCACAGGGCGTCCTGGAGCAGGTATCCTCCCAGTGGTTTCTGCACTAAAGAGCCCCACCTATGCTAGGTGGACTCTGGCTTGGCAGAAGCTGTTTGGCCTCCAGAGGAGACAGGGTCAGGAGGGGCTGGTCATAGAGACCTGTCCTGTGCAGGGCTCTAATCTAGCACTGGAGATTCAAGGGCAAACAACCCTGCCTGCTCCCCAGCGGCAACATCAGTGTAAGTACAAACAAATAGACAGGTGGTCAAATAAAGCCAAGAGAGGACATGAAGCAACTGAGGCTGGGTTTTAAAAGGTGGGCAAAGAAGGCCTCTGAGCACAAGGAGGGTTGCGCCTGCAGGAAGAGGGAATAGCAAAGTGCAAAGGCACCAGGGCAGCAGCAGGCCTGGTGTGTTTGTGGAACAAAAAGGATGTTCCTGGGCTGGAGTGCAATGAACAAAGGGAATGACTTCGGGTGGGCAGTAGGAGCCAGTCTCCATAGGCCCTTGTGGGTTGCTGTAGTCTGACTGACCTCTCCAAATGTCATGTGGAAATCTGATCCCATGTTGGAGATGCAGCTTAATGGGAGGTGTCTGGGTCATAGGGACAGATCCTTCATGAATAGAGTAATGCCCTCCTTGGTGGGGGGCCGGGGGTGCTGAGTGAGTTCTTGCCCTATTAGTTCTCCCAAGCTTCCATGAGAGCTGGCTGTTAAAAGAAGTCTAGCACCTTTCCCCTCTCTCTTGCCTCCCCTCTCTGCATGTGATCTCTGCACACATACCAGCTCTCCTTCGCCTTCTGACATGAGTGGGAGGAGCCTGAGGCTCTCCCCAGATGCAGATGCGGCCACCATGCTTCTTGCACAACTGCAGAATCATGAGCCAAATAAACCTCTTTTCTTTATAAATTATCCAGCCTCAGATATTCCTCTATAGCAACACCAATGGACTAAGACATGGGTCAAGGGGTGGGGACATTAGTGAGCTAATCAGGGGAGGGGCCCACAGCAAGGGGGCCTCCTCACAAAAAAACAGAGGGAGGCAAAGGCAAGGTGTGCCCAGCAACCATCTGGGGGGCTTCTTGGGGGGGTCACAGCTAGGGAACAAGGACCCTCAGATAAAGCTGGGTGGAACCTTCCAATCTGGAAACAAACTCAAAAATTGTTTCCATTTCAGAGATTTCCCCATCTGAGAGCTCATGCCTTCATCATCAACACCCAGAAAGCCAAGAACGAGCCCCTTGTGAAAGCTTTATTTAATTTCAAGTAACTATCCCTGCATTGCTGAAATTTAACATAAAATGCAGAAATGATTGCATGCCCGGCCTTCTACTTGAACTTAGAGATGTTTTCATTAGAACACTTCTATTTCATGCTAAACACTATGGTTCAGAAAATGACAGTTTTCAAAGACGTTAGAAAGGAGTTTGGAAACTTCTCTCTCCCCAGCCCCCCATAGATGCCAAACATTTCATTTCACCCTTAAGTGAGGAGACACAGCGTGACACATTCTGCAAACACACACACCCTCTCTCCCGAGAAGACGGGTGAATGATTTATGAAGTGCTGGCCTCACTTTGCACTCTGCTTCTGAGCTCCTGGCCTGGCCCTGCACCTTCTCTCTGCACTGTGGCAGGCTGCTGCCACGTGGGCCCAGGTCTCTTGGGAGGAACAAGGGGACACAGAGGCCGGGATGATGCCTCAGGGGAGCAGAAAGCTGGATCCAGTGGAAGAGAAAGGGTGAACCTTGCTGAATGCTTCCTGCTGTGAAAATGGGAACCTCGACCAAAGGAGGTGTTTGGGGAAGCTCGGGCTCCCCCACACCCTGGACCAAGGTCCTCCAGCTGCTTCTGTATTTGTCTCTACCCTTCTCACCTCCCTTTCCGCTTCTGCTAGAGACCCCACTGTCACTTCAGCTGCCTCCTCCTCTCCTCTCCCAATCCTTGCAGGGTCCAGTGTCGCCTGGAGATCCCCCCAACAGGGATGGTGCTGAGTAGCCAGTCCTCAAGCCTCAAGATTCCCAGAAGTCTGCTCCTTTGGAAACCCCCCTTGGCTCCATCTCAGCCCCTTGCATCCTGACCCCAGTCATCAACTCCACTGCCCCATGGGGTCCTCAGGTAGGGCCACTGTCTTCCCCTGCCAATCCTCCGTCACTTCTGAAGCCCCATCTCCCACAGGGGCTCCTGAACCTGCCCTGCACCTCCAGGGAATCAGCCCTCTAGCTTGAATTCCCACCCCACCAGCCCTGAGTCTCACAGGCCCTCATTCCTGACACAGTTGGTGCCACCAGTGCCACACTGCCCTCGTTCCTAATCTCCTCCAGCTGCAACTGCCACCAACTCCACTGCCCCTAGTAAACTACCACCAAGCGTGCCCAAAAGGACAGTGACAATTCCACATCTCCAATGCCCACAGAGCCCTCTCTGCAACTGGAGGAAGATGCTCCCTGTCCTTTATCTCACTGCAGATCTTACTCTGAGTTTCCAGCCCCAAATCCTGCCACACTCGCTGTCCGCAGAGGACCCCACCTCCTACTTCACCAAGAATGGGAAACCCTCTAGGGTGAAGGCTCGGAACACCCCTCAGCACTGCTCCCCACCTTCACTATCTCAGGGTACAGGCGAACCTCCTCCTTTCCAGGTGAGCCCCTGCCCCAGTGTCAGCCCCTCAGGGACCTGCCCCATCAGCCACCCCCCACCAACTTTCCCTTCACCTGGATCTTCCCTGCAGGAGAGATCTCAGGGTAAAGGACACCCTACTCCTTTCCAGGTGAGTCCCTGCCCCAGAGTCAGCTCCTCAGGGACCTGCCCCATCAGCCATTCCCCACTGACTTTCCCTCCACCTGGATCTTCTGTCCAGCCGAGAAACAGCCAGATTCCCAAGAAGCAAGGAGGGAAATTCGCCTTTCTTGTCCTGGTCTTCCGTCTGATGTTGGCAACTTACCCACTCCTTCCCTTCACCATCAGAACTCTCCAAAGAAAAGCCGAATGTGGAACTCCTGCTAAGACTTTCTGTTGCCAAACAGAAAGCGAGCGTCTCAGGGCTCAGGGCTGAGCCTCCCCGTCCTTGCGCTCTCAGGCACAGAGCCTAGCTCACAGCAGAAGTTCCATCCATCTTCCTCTCATTAGCCTAACTCCTTCTTACAAAGTCAGCCTACCAGCTAACCATCCTCAGCCCTCACCTCACAAACTCATTCATCAAATTTTTGCCCCACTTAAAGGACAAATGCACAGACTTCAATATATACACAGAATCATTTTGTCGATTAAAGAGCTAAAATTGAAAAGATTTGGCTCCTTCCAACTGCCTGTATTTATTCCAAATCATTAGAGCCATCTATTCACCTCAAGCAGAATAATTAACTTTTCAATCATCACATTGGTTATAACTGTTAACACTCATATATCTAATATACTTTCTGTCATTAGGGAAATAAAAGATTGCTTTTCATTAGTATACTAACACTGCACAAAATTATAATGCAGTAGGGAAGGATACTTCATAATTGTGAAAAATATAAATTATTCAATATCATTAAAACAACCAGATTATTTTAATGATATTGAATAATTTATATTTTTAATGATATTGAATAATTTATATTTGTATAAGTTATTGTATTACTTTCAAATAGCATGAATTATTTGGAAAACTAATAAAACTGCGGTTGTAGAACTTATCATCAAGTTGGTTATGAGCTCGCGTCAGGACCGCAGTGGCTGAGCCTCGTGATTTCGCCGTTTCATCTCTTCCATTTGTCTCCCAGGTCTCACAGCAGCTCCCCTGTGCCCATTTACCATGGGATGCGCCTTGCTGAGTCTAGTAGACCCATGAAGGTATTGGACTCTTCCAATAGATTGAAAGCTCCCTGCAGGCAGGGCCATTTCTTGCCCACTTTTATATCCCTAGTGCTTATTGTAGAGCACTTGATAAACATCATAGGAATGAATTAATAGACATCCAGAGAGTATCAGAAACAAATAAGATCACGAATGTTCATTTTAAAATTCCAACTATAGGGCAAGGCATGGTGGCTCATGCCTGCAATCCAGGCACTTTGGGAGGCCGAGGTGGGAGTATTACCTGAGGCCAGGAGTTCACGACCACCTGACCAACATGGTGAAACCCCGTCTCTACTAAAAATACAAAAATTAGCTGGGCACAGTGACAGGTGCCTGTAATCCCAGCTACTCAAGAAGCTGAGTATTAACACTTGAGCCTGGGAAGTGGAGGCTGCAGTGAGTTGAGATCACACCTCTGCACTCCAGCCTGGGTGACAAAGCAAGACTCTATCTAAAAAATAAAATAAAATAAAATAAAATCCAACTATAAACGTCCTATAAAGGAAAAGTTTATTTCTTAAGTGTATATTGTAACTCCAACTGCTAGTCAAGTCTTTCTGTATTTCAATAGCCAGCTAGAAGTCACTCTGAATAGCAACATCCATTTGGAAAAATCTACCAGGCTGGCAAGTTCCTCCCTTTCCATTTCTGAAACATTACCAACCAAAATGCAACACGCTGTGAGATGAGGGTACGCTCCGCACACTTAACTAGAAAACTCAAACTCTAATTCCAGCTCTGCCATGGCTTGTCTTGGTGTGAATTCCACTTCTGCCTGCGACCCTGCAGGACCTGGGAAGTGACAACGGGCACCGGGGGAGTGTGCAGGACAGTAACCTGCGCAGACCCCCCTCGAGCTATTTACTAGGCTCCTACACACAGATACTTCTACCAATTTGTCCTCTGAGGTGTTCCTGTGAGGAAGAAGAGGGGAGGACCAGGCAGGTGACTGTCCCCAAATCCTCAGATTCATGCAAAGCAGCTTTCTCTGTCTATATTTTCTAAATATTTCCAAGAAAGATTTTATTTGACAGAAGAATCTATACCTAAAAATAAAGCTTGAAAACTGCGGTTACAGATAAACCCAAAGACGTGTGGCAGGAACAGCTACCACTTACTGTGCACTTATTATGTGCTGGCTCATTTAAAACATCGTAATTTAATTTTACTCTCACCACATCTTTATGAGATAGAGAGTAGTTATCTCATTTTTAGAGAACGGGAAACTGAGGGTCACAGAAGAGAAATCTCGAAACCAGCAAGGGCCGAAAGCCCTGACGCGGCGGCCGCTCTACAGGAGCTGTCCAGCTCCACACACCTGTGGCTTCTCAACCTTCTCTTCCCGAACCCCTCCACATTCCCCCCTTACATGTATAATATAAATAAATGCTCATCCATGTATCGTCATAGATCAGTTAGCTCATTACCATTCCATGTGAATGAGTCTTTGTCGACTCTTTACTTCATATTGATACCCATTCATTAAAGAGTTATTTCTTGTGCATCTAATAGGCGCCTGGTCCTGGGTAAGGTCCCAGGAATAAAGACTGCCAAGACATGGATCTGCCATCAAGGGAATCACAGACTAGTGGGAAGAAACATGAAAACCAATCAATAGAAATATTAAAAATGGTACCATAGCCGTCTGTACTGGGAGCAGTGTGGGGATGGGTCATGCCAAGAGAGAAAGGGAGATGACTATTGCCTTCCTCGCTGTTACTATTGAATGATACTCATTTTTGACATGTTTTCTGGACATACTGAGATAGAAAAAGGCTCAGATACCAAGATGTATCCTAATCCCATTTCCTCTTCAGTTCTCACTGGAGATAGTACTATTCCAAGAGATAAGACAAACCAAAACTCATCAGGTTTCTTTTCATTGTTCCTGGAGAATAATTTGGCTTGAAATACATTTAAAAAAATAAACTCTTAAAGTAATTCTATCCCTTGCCTTCCCTGTGAGATGTTCCTGTACTGTTTGAGCCAAGGAAAGATACTATTCCACTGCAATTCCTTGCTTACCCCAAACCTTCTTGTGTTTCTAGCTGAAATGGAATGTGAGCTTTATACTTACCTTTCACTTATTTTCTAATCCAATAATAACCCGACTACTGGGTCTCTAAGGACAGTGGCCAGACAGCTTAACATGCAAACATTAAGGCAAAAATCCCCATGGATAATCTCAAAACAGTCTTTTGTTTTAAGTTTCCATTTTTTCCTGAGCAACCCAACTGCCCCCATAAATTCTTGCCTTTCAGAATATCAACAGCGAAAACAATTGTTATGGGAATAAGCTACTGCTAAAAGCAAAACGCATGCCACAGAGGAAAAATCAACAAATACATACACAAACGCTACTGAAAAGCAAGGCAAATAAAATGCAATACACAAAATGGCATAAATGCATAACCAACTGTTGTCAAAATGCACAAATTATTCGAGCTCTGAAAATGTATTCACAGAAAAGAATTCTAATGAAGAAAAAGTATGAAAATGCTTTCTCACAACATGATATGTGATAATAGAAAATTGAGACGGTGATGGAGGTGTGGCTGAGTAAATTACAGGCCATTAAAAATGATCATTACAAAGCCTGAGTAACAGCATGAAAAATGTTACTGATATGTCTTTAAGTTAAAAATAAAATAACTGGATATGTAACATGATTGCAATATGGGAGAAAAAAATCTGTTAGCATAAGGACCACGGAATCATGCATAATGTTTTAAAATTTTGCTGGATGTTATAATATTGTCTTTACAGTAAAAAAAAAAAATTCAGAGTAAAATAGATGATGAGTCACTGCCTGACAATTGTCACTGCATAAGAAAGTCCCCTTTGCAGGGACAATGACAGGTGTTTAAATGTGAGCACAGATGCCAGGTTCATCTCACTTATCCCACTTTATTTATTAATGTTGACCTTCCAGAAATTAAAATTAATCTAGTCAGCAAATTAAACTCTGATTTTATTTGATTGCCAAGTAATTAGTAAATATTGAAAGATGGTAAGACATGAGCTTTCAGAGTGCAGTATAGATGGGAGCGTTGGGGAGGACTGCAGACGGGAGGGATCTGAGCTCACAAATATCACAGTTTCCTAATGTTCACGCGTGGGACATTTGTGATCTTGGCTTCTCAATGTAGGCAGATGTTAGAAGAATTTGAAGATTTCTTGTATACGTTCAGAAAGCACCCGAGGTCCTGCTGACTCTACTACGCCCCTCCACAAAGCCCCCAAGCTCTGCATGACCACCGTCCACATGGCTGGAGCCACACGACATCCCTCACAGATGCAGCTCTGCCTCGGTCTCCACAACCAGCCCTGAGCCGAGGTCGACGGGGTGATTTTGTTCATGTATTTTTGCTTGCTTATTGTAAAATAAACATTACATAAAATATATCATTTTAACCATCTTTAACTGTACAGTTCTGTGGTATTAAGTACATTCACATTTGCAACCATCTATCTCCAGAACTTTTCATCAACCTATACTGAACCTCTGTACCTCTTCAACATTAACTCCCAATTCCCCCTTCCTCCTAGCCCTGGCAACACCATTCTACTTTCTGCCGCTATACATCTGACTGCTCTAGGTCGTCATGGAAGTGGAATCACGCAGTGTTTGTCTTTTGTGACTGGCATACTGCACTCAGCAGAACGACCCCAAGCTGTACCCACGTGTAGCGTGTGGCAGCATGCCTTCCTCTTTAAGGCTGAATAATATGTTCCACTGTATGCATATGTCATGAGACAGGGGGTTTTCAGGGGCTGCAACCCATCTCTCTTGGGATTACAATCAGGTCACACTTGTCACTGTCCCAGCCTTGGTCCTGAGTGAAATTCTGAGAAATGGAACCCCTTCTCATTCGCAGGCCTCAAGCTGTGTCATCCTTGACCTTCACTACTTCTCCGGTGGTCCTTCAGTCAGGAACCTAGACTTCCAGTCCTTCTCCCTAGGATCTGGACAATTCATGCCCTCGACTCCAGAACTGTGTACTCACTGCTTGTCCAGAGGTCCTGCCTTGGGCTGTGCCCTGGCCACCAGTCAGGACACCAATATCTCGTCCCAGAGCCAAGACAGCAGCCACTTGCCTAAACCACCTGGTGCAGATCTTTCTTTCCACTCCTGTGCAGGGGGAGGGTGTCGTTCTGAGACGCACCTTCCTTCCAGGAGAATGTGTCGACAGTGAGCCTGGCCTCCTGTTCATATTCCAATTTTCTCCCCTTCTACTGCCCATCACCAAACACCTCTCTGCAACTTCCTTGTGTCTATCCAGACCCTCAAAAGTGAGACCCAAAACAGGCTCCAGAAAGCACATGTCCAGGTATACTCACAGCCAGAGGGAGTTCCTCCCTTGAGTGATGACGCCAGTGAATCTGGTCAGGCGCCGGGCGTCCACTTCAATCCACTGCTGGAGATCATTTCTTCCCGCGCACCAT